TATATACATACTATACTATATATACTATATATATATATATATAGATAGTATATATAGTATAGTATGTATATACTATATATACACATATAAGCAATTTATACTATGTAAATTATATATATATATATATATATATATACTATATAATTTAGATAATTTACAAGAAATTGCCGTATATAGTATATTGCCTTGTAAAAGATTGTATACAACAACAACTACTACCCAGTAAAATCCCATATAGTGGGGTCTGGGGAGGGTAATGTGTACGCAGACCTTACCCCTGCTCCGATAGGGGCAGAGAGGCTGTTTCCGATAGACCCTCGGCTCAGAAAGACGAAAATAAAATTAAAAAAAAAACAAGAAAAAAAAAGAAAAAAAAAAAGAGAATTCATTAGTAAGTCTAGTAGAAACCGTAATAGTAACAGAAGCATAAAAACCAAAAGATGAATGACATGCAATAACAATAACCAGAATCTAAGGCCCGGGGCTAAGATAAACAACAGGAATAGTGTGGGTTCAACATAAACTGCAAGCCATCTAAAATCAACCCTGATCCAACCCCGCCTCACCCCCGGTATGAAGTAAGGAAAGCTTTACTACCCCTATCCTATAACCTTAATGCTTGACCTCCAGGCCTTCCTATCAAGAGCCATGTCCTCGGAAATCTGCAGTCGTACCATATTCTGCCTGACCACCTCTCCCCAATACTTCTTAGGTCTCCCTCTATCTCTTCTTGTACCCACCACGGCCAGCCGCTCACACCTCCTCATCGGTGCATCAAGGCTTCTCCGCTGCACGTGTCCGAACCATCTGGGCCTCGCTTCCCGCATCTTGTCATCCACAGGGGCGACACCCACCTTCCTCCGAATATTTTCATTCCTAATCTTGTCTATCCTAGTGTGCCCGCACATTCACCTCAGCATCCGCATCTCTTCTACTTTCATCCTCTGGATATGGGAGTTCTTAACCGGCCAACACTCTGCCCCATATAACATGGCCGGCCTAACCACAACTCTATAAAACTTACCTTTGAGTATCGGTGACACTTTCTTGTCACACAAGACTCCAGATGCAAGCCTCCATTTCATCCAGCCCGCCCCTATGCGGTGAGTGACGTCCTCATCGATCTCTCCGTCCCCTTGAATCATCGACCAAGGTACTTGAAGCTCTCTCTTGGGGATGACCTGTGACCCAAGCCTCACGTCCCCGCCTACTTCCCTCGACTCAGCGCTAAACTTGCACTCCAGGTACTCTGTCTTAGACCTGCTCAATTTGAAACCCTTAGACTCGAGAGTCTGTCTCCAAACCTCCAATCTCTTGTTAACACCAGCCCTTGTCTCGTCAATTAGAACTATGTCATCAGCAAATAACATACACCATGGCACCTCCCCTTGAATA